TTACTAATTCTGACTTCCACTGCCTCAATTCTGCTCCTATGACTTTCTGTTGAGTTGACTAATTCTGAAATTTTGTTGTTAATCTTCTGGATTTGTGATTGCTGTCTCTCTATGAAATGTTGCAGCCTGTTGAATTTGTCATTATGCTCTTCTCTAATCGTCTTAAGTTCCTCTCTTGCTTTGTTTGTGTGTTCTTGACTTGCTCTTCTTTTTGAATGATCTCTTGAAGAATTCTGTGTATTAAACTTTTGTATTCTACCTCCAGTAATTCCAAGAAATTCTCTACCTCTAGAAAATTTCTTGATTCTTTGTTTTGGGAGCTTGCTGAAGCCATCATGGTCTGCCTCTTTATGTGATTTGATACTGACTGTTGTCTCCGAGACATCAGTAAGTTATTATATTTATGTATTTTATGTTTACTTACTGTGTCCTAACTTCTTGTTTTATTTTGTTTTTACATGCCCAAATAGGCTGATTATGTGAGCTATTTTGATTATTGGCACCTTTGAAGCTCTAACATCATGTCACCAGTTGTTTAGATCTGTTACTAGGTATGTGAGCCCAGGAGTCTGTTTCCTTTTCTCTTATGGATTCAGCTCAGGTGTCGAAGGTAGTGGTTCACCAAATTTGTGATGCAGGCTCTCACCTACAGTCGTAGACGAGTGGGAGTGATTGGTGTAGGCACACGTATCTGGCTGCAGTAGGTGGTCACGTGCTGTGCAAGGCAGGGGGCTGATGGATGCACGAGTGTCTAGGAGGAAAGCGTGTCCCTGTTCCCTAGAGCTCATAGGTGGGTGGGTTTTGTAGTCGGATTATGGGTACCCAGTTCTTTTGGCTGTAAGGACTGGGAGGCACCACTTATTTTGGACCCCCATTACGTGTAGCTTGATGGTGTAGGTGGAGCCACCAGTCCTGAGGCCCCTGATGTGGGTAGCTGAGAACCCTTCTTAATGGGCAGAGCAGTATCAAATGTCACGAACTTGACACTTCACCATATAGTTGATACGGTTGAAGTTAGGCTTCAGGTATATACCTTGTTATACTTTGGTAATGAGGGCCTACACTGTTGAAATGGGCCCACACAGGTCTATGCAGGGATGAAAGCCATTCAAAGTCTGTGGACCCCTTATGCCTGTGCCTCAGCAAAGGAGCTGTGCCTGCCCTGAGTTCCCAGCTTAGGGGAGCTGGCAGGTTATTTTTTCTAGTTTTTTAATTTGTTTCCTCTCCAAGGCTGGGAGAATGGCCTAGTGTGCGTGACAGGTCCTACTTCCAGCCCAGGAGACTCAACAGCCCCTGAAGCCAGCCTAGGACCCGGTGCAGAGCTGGGAAGCGGCAATTAAATGGGAGAGAGGTTTTTCCCAAGGTGGGGTGTTTTTTGATCCGCACCGTATATCAGACGATTGAGCACTGCTTTTTGCTGGTTCTGGATGCCCAAGTAGATTCTCTGCCGCTCAGTCTTTCCCAATGTGGAATACGCCTCCGGAGCACCACTGCTTGCTGCTTGCCTTACCACACACACCAGCCTATCCGGGCTGAAGGATGCCGGCTCTTGCTGGGTCAGGTCTGGCAAATCCTGGCTGCTTCTGAACTGTCTCTTCCTTCCCCTGTCACTCAGTCTGTTTCCTCAACTTTGCCTTTGAGGTTCAGGGCTCCTAGATTGTGATACTTTTTTTTCGGGTCTTTGTTGTAAGAGGGTCCACGGGAAGCATCTGGCTACTCCACCATCTTGGCCCTGCCTCCCAAAGAGCTTTTCTTAACACTTTCCTGGCTTCTAACCTGTGCCATGTGCTAATGCTTTTTAGTGCCAAACTAATAACAGTTTCATATTGTCACTGCCCTGCTCAAGAGCCTACAGAATTTTTTTTTTTTTTAATATCTTGTTTTATCACGTCCCGACTCATCTGCCTGAATCTAGCTTAGCATTACTCTGTTGTTCCACTCAGGCCAGTCTTGTGTTTTCCTGTGTACCCTTGGGCATACGCTTGGGCATTTGCTCATGTGCTTCCTTCAGCCTAGAATGTTCTTATCCTTCTACTTGTACTGTTTATATCCTACCCATACTTCAGGAATCCAACTTTCAAAGAAGCCTCTCTGACTTTTCTAAGAAATGTTTCTCAGCCAAGAACTGAGCTTGGACAGAAACATGATTGGTAAAACTGAGAGAGACTCAGACTTCAAAGACATGTTGATTTAGAGATCCGAGAGTGGATTGGGGGTCAGAGCCTTTAAATTCCAGAATGGCAAATAGGAACTAAAGTCTGAAGGGTGTATGTAAGTTGGAAGGATCAGTTCAAGGTATAAGGATTGAGAGGTGGAGGTATGTGATATGAGTGACACCTGAGAGCAAAGCACTGTTGAAAATCTGAGATGTCATGCAGGTTTTAGACAGACCAGCAGAGAGCAGGATGGACTAGGTGGTTTTTAAGGTCCACATGGATAGGCAAGATAGCATACTTCTTAATTGACAAAGGGAGCCAGTAACGTTAAGATCAAGAAACAGATGTTAGGAATCTGAGGCGTCAGTATTGGAGTCTCAGGTGCTGGGAGACTAGGGACACAGGGGATAAAATAGAGCCTCTTATGAGGGTAGAGTGTCAAGATCAGTACAGGATGACAGCAGAACTGAATGTGCCGAGCCAAGAACTACTCATATTTCCTTCTGGCTAAGATCAGAATGGTGTTGTGAGAATATTACTATTTTGAGGTAACTTAATAGGCTTCATTACCAGAGGCATAGGGATAGAAGGACTACCATTAATTCGACAGTAAAACCTTCAGTGATTTCATTGTGCTTATTAGTATATGTCCCATATCATTTAGCTCCTGATTAAACACATCACTCTCTTGTATTGCTGTGATTTGCTTATGTGAGTCTCTTTTTCTCCATTCATATTTAAACTAGTTGAGATGAGATCCATTTAAAAAAAAACAGCTGCATTGTGGTATAATATACAATAAACAGCATATATTTAAAGTATATAATTTGATAAATTTCAACATATGTGTACACCTGTGAAACTATCACCACAGCTAAGATAATGGATAACGAACATATTCATCACCCCCAAGAGTTTCTTTATGGCCTTTTATTATTCTTTCTTCCTGCACCTCTCTTCCCCTTCCTCTCTTCTTACATCCACTGATTTACTTTGTCACTGTAGATTCTGGAGTTTTATATAAAAGGAGTCATGTTGTATGAACTCTTGTCTGGTTTCTTTCACTGAGCATAATTATTTTGAGTGTATCAATAGTTAATTCCGTTTTATTGCTAAGGAGGATTCCATTGCATGAATATACCACAATTTGTTTATCCATTCACCTGTTGATGGATGTGTGGTTGTTTCCAGTTTTTGACTATTACATATAAATTTGTTATGAACATTTGTATATGAATCTTTGTGTAGACATAATGTTTAATTTCTCTTATATGACTACTTAAGAGTGGAATGGCTGGGTCACATGGTAGGAGTATGTTTAACTTTTTAAGAAATTGCCTATTTTCCAAAATAGTTGTACCATTTTACATTTCCACAGGCATTCTATGGGTGTTTCAGTTCTTCCATATCCTCACCACACTTGGTGTGGTCATTATTTAATTTTAGGTATTCTAGTGGGTGTGTATCGGTAGCTCGTTGTAGTTTTAATTTGCATATTCCTTATGATTAAATGATGTTAAGCACCTCTTTATGTGCTTATTTGCCACCACAGTTTTATACTTTGGTTAAGTGTCTGTTTCACATCCTTTATCTATTTTTTAAGATTGGGTGGTTTATTTTCTTATTGAGAGTTCTTTATATTTTCAGATATAAGTCCTTTATCAGATACATGCTTTACAAATGTTTTCTCTCAGTCTGTGTTTTGTCTTTTCAATTTACTGTGCATCTCTTCCCAACTGGCATTCAGTGCCGTTATGGTGTAGCTTGAAGTTGGCCATGGTGGGAACGGTTTACTTTACAGAAATCAGCAAATGCTATAAATCAGGTCTTGATTTATTGTCTATTGATTGTTTACACTTAAGAAAGTAGTGGAGAAAATGTTAATAATAATGCAGATTAAATTTAAAATTATATAATGTCTGTAGCCTTTACATTATGAATAGCACATACAAAAAAAGGTGAGGAAATACTCTTTCTAGTATTTGAAAACTATTATCTTGTTCAAAAAAGTCGTTGAAGTTACTGACTAATCAGTGAAGCTCAGGCATATGTCTTCATTGTTTTACTTCCTTGTCAGTTTGCAACCCTAGATTGGCTATAAATGCAAAAATTGAGCAAAGTAAGTGAAAGCATTCTGTGATAATTAATTGGCTGTATGAAATTTACAATAAAATATATTTTATCATTTGTAAATTACATAATACATATCCTTTTTATCTCACAAATAATCACCAAGGGAAATGTCTCTAGACTCACGAAACTAGAGTGATTCAAGAAAGAAAAATGAGATCAGGAAGCAAAGTTGTTGTATAGGTGATAAGAGAACTAACGAAATGCTGCTGAGACCAGACGATGAAAGGAGGGAGAGAAAATGAAAGGTATAAGACACAGAAGGCCAGGTCAATTGCCATACCACTGAAGACACAGAAAAGGAAGTGAATTTTTAGTTGTAGGGTGTTTGATTTGGGCTGGTTTGACTTCTTGTTGGTTTTATTGTTCTGTAACAATCTGCCAGTGCTATTGAAGAGTATGAAAAACTCATGTATTATTAATGTTACATTAACAACTTCAAGTTAGCCATGAACTTCTCCAAATTTAATTTTCCTTCAGACAAAAAATTTTCCAAATAGTTCTAAAGTATAAAATTGGAGCACAGTATAGAACAATTATATTTTCCCTATTTTCTAGAAGTTGCATCATTACCTTCATTGCCTTTTAATGTATACATCAATTCTGTTATGTTTACTGTAATTATTACATTTCTTTCAAAAGTATTTTTTCCAGAATATTTTAATCCTGAATCTGGTGATTAAGTTTTTAAAAATATATATATATTTTTTGTAGCCATGCAGGATATACGTACTGTGGGTCTTGTGCTGCCCATGCTTACAAACAAGTGGATCCGTCTATTACGTAAGTAATATAGTTAGATACGGTTTTGTTTTAAGTGGGAGAAGTTTGGGTGGTGTGTGTGTGTGTGTGTGTGTGTGTGTGTGTGTGTGTGTGTGTGTATTTAAAAATCAGATTTTTGCCAATCCTAATGAATCAGAGTTTTATGAATGATTATAAGACGTAAGTTATAAAGAAGCTTTAATACTGTTTTCCATTGTCTGAACATGTAGTTTTTTTCTTCCCTTTGATTGGTAAAATGTTTAGTTCTAGAAATATTAGAAAGGTTAAGTATTTTGGTTTTTAATTTTTCCTTGAAAAGAGATGAGCATTTTAAAGAAAAATTGCAAAGTCTTTTCTATTTTAATCATTTTGCAATTTAAAGTTCTTTATTGTAGTTGTTACATTGTAGTTAGTGCAAGAAAGAATAATTTCTCATTGACAGGATAACATACCTGAAATACTGTAGAATCTGACAGTGAATTTAATACGGTGTTTGAAGCGTTATTCAGTGACAGCTCTAATAATTCAATGACAGCTTAGAAATTAGCTTTAAAAAAAAGAACTTCCTAGCAAATTGAGGATGATTCAGTAGTATACCACTGCCATCAAGTTAATTCTGACTTGTAACGACCCTGTAGTAGCATAAACCCATTGCAATTGTGTCAATTACGACTCATAGCGACCCTAGAGGGCAGAGTAGAACTGCCCCATAGGGTTTCCAAGGAGTGGCTGGTGGATTTGAACAGCTGACCTTTTGGTTGATAGCCAAAGGCTTAACTACTTTGCCACCAGGGCCCCTGTAGTAGCAAGTTCACAAGTTTCTCAATTTAGAGAGTAGTATGCTTTAATATACTGTAGTTGCTGTAGAACTTTTAAAAACTTTTACTGAAGGTAGCCATTGAAATTATTAGTTTTCTGACCAGCATTTACTTTAAATAGTTTATTTATGAGCCAATATCGGGCTTCAGTGCATATTGTCATATATAATGCTTTGTATTAATAGGTAAAATGTACATTTCTTAATTCTATCAAATGTTGTGTTGTTAGGTAAGCCTGTAGTAGTAGTGGTGTAACATAGTTCCTTAAAAGAACAGCCTACTCCTTTGCCTCTGAGCTGTTTGTTCAGATTTTTTAAACAAAAAAGCTGCTCCTTTTTAGTTTTCTGCAATGTTCTTGCACATTGTACCATACTTTTGTTGAAAATTATTTTTAACATGTTTTTAGTAATGAATAAAATTATAACATTGCCAAATTGATGAGGTTTGGGCAGCCCTGCCTTGTGTATAATGTTTTGGGGAGAGCCTTGTAAATGTTTTTTGGTACATAGGTAATATGCAGTCTTAACCAGTTAATTTATTTCATGAATAAGAGCGAATAGAAATTAGAATGGAATGCTTTTCAGAAGCTACCTTCATTTGACCTTGGGCCAGTACACAGGCTATAATTAAGGTTAGTTTTGAGAACAGCTTTTTCCAAACTTTTCTCTATTTGGAAGAGTTTTTATTAATGATGTGTGCTGAAAGGGTACCCCAGAATTAAATTAGGTCTAGGACTATGTAGAGAAATATAGAGTCTGTATTGGTAGAATTGGGAAAGCCTGTGTTAAATAAGTTGGTGGAGAGAATGGAAGGAAAAAGGAAAAGAGGAGAAAAAGCTAAGAGGAAGAAGATAAAGGAAACCAGTAAAACGAGAGACAAAATGATGGGTAATGACCTGATCAACTTATTTTTGTAATTAACATATAATAATTGAATTCTAGATAAATAAATTTGAAGGTCTAAGTATAAAAATAATAATTGACTTTCTCTTAAAAGTAGCCTCCCCTGTGGGTTGCAATGTCTTCAGAGTTCTTTGAGAAAACAGAGAAAGAATACCCTTTGGGGAACCACAGGAAGTGTGTGTGTGTGTATATATATGTGTGTATATACACACACACATATATATATATATAGATACAGGAAGTATATATATATAAATATAAATTTGGTCCAGGAGAGAGGATTAAATTTTGTACTATCAGCTTCTATTACTTACCCTTATAACTTACAACACTTATAACTCATTCTGGATATGAAAGCCAAAATCATCTTTTTAAAATATAAGTGATAGTATGTCACTCCCAGTACTTACAAGTTGTGTGGTACAAATATGATTTTAAAACAGCATTACAAATAATAGGTGAAAAATTAATTAAAAAATAATATTGAAATACTGACTTTGTCAATTTGAAAAAATCAGTCAGTTTAGACTCTCTGCTAGCACCATGCATCAAAACAAATACCAGCTAGATAAAGGAGTTAAACTAATGGAGGGAAATTTTGAGCCAGAGGTAATTTGGACCAAAATATATCCATATGCTTTTGGTTAAAGAAATTATTAATAGAAAAACAGATTAGATCACATTAAAAATAACACCTAAGTCATAATGTAACCAAAATAAACAGTTAACAGAATGGGGAAAATATTTGTCAAAAAAAGACACACATGAAAGATTTATAGTATCGGTAACAAGATTTTTAGAGCTCAGTTGCTAAGTGACCAAAGAATATTAACTGAAATTACAGAAAAGTAAACATGACTAGTAAAAGAGAAATGGAAGTATGTTTTACTTCTGTAGTAAAGAAATATAAATAAAAACAGTAGTGAGGTACCAGATTAAATTAACAACTTAAAAAAAATAGAATCTTTGTAATTTAGGACTGGCTAGATTATGGTGAAATTAGTTTTTTGAAAAATAACACATTTCTATGGTCTATATATATCACTTTAACACTTTACAAAAGCAATTTATTAATATGTTAGGGTATAGTTATTGACTTAGAAATTAAGCTTCTAGGAATCTATCTTAATAAGGCCCACAGTGAAAAAAGTTAAATGTGATGAGATTTTCACAGCAGCCTTATTTTTTAAAGAGCCCAAATTTCCAACAGTGAGTTAATTACATGAACATGACAGTTTACTCTGTGGAATATTATGTAGGCATTAAAAATGATGGTTTTAAAGGCTTTATAGTAATTTGGAAAATGTTTATAATATATCAAGTGGGAAAAACAGAGTTTAAATAGTGCAAAACTGTATAAAGAGCATATAATGTATAACGTAAATTATTATTAAAAAAAAAAACTGAAAAGAAATAAACAATGGCAAAGTGATTGTGTATGGATGAAGAGTCCCTGCATGGTGAAACAGTTAAGCACTTCGCTATTAACCAAAAGGTTGGCAGTTTAAATCTACCCAGAGGCACCAGAAAAAAGATCTGGTGATCTACTTCTGGAAGATCACAGCCATTGAAAACCCTATGGAACACATTTCTACTCTGCAACATACGGGGTCACCATGAGTCAGAATCAACTTGATGGCGACTGGTTTGGTATGGATGATGATATTTTATGTATATGTTTTCTCTTATGAAAAATGGATATATTACTTTTATGGTGAAAAAAGTATAAATCTTAAAAATATACGGGGACTAAATAGTTTTGAACTGATAAAATGGTTTTTCGATTTTTAATATGACTCATTAGGTAGACCCTAACAAGATTTCATAGTAACCATTTACAATTTAATAGGGAGTGTGAGAGGGCGTGGAAAGTGATAGCCAAGTTTGTTTGCAGGCAACTTTGCTTGATTCAGGTCTGCAGATAGTTGCTAGCAATGGAATTGAAGTGCTGATCTTGAAGGGAAAGGGATGGATAAATTAAAGCATTTTTATTAAAAAAATGTTAAGTGCCTGCTATGAGCCAGGTACTATGGCAGTGGTAAGAGACAGTGATTAATAAAACAAACATGGCAAACATGGTTCTAGCTCTGTGGCACTTATAAACTGGTAAATGAGACGAACTTAAGCATATCATAATAAACATAGATATCTAAATAAAAATTGTAATAAGACCTGTAAAAGTAAAGTACAATGGTTCTTGAACTTCTTGGTCTCAGAAATCCTATTTACTCTTAAGTTATTGAGGACACCAAAGAACTTTTGTTTGTGTGGATTACATCTGTCACTGTTTATCAGATTAGAAATTAAAATGAAAACTTAAAAAAATAATTTTAAAATAAGAATAATAAACCCATTAAAAATTGACACAAATAACATTTTTATGTCAATTTTAAAATGAAAATAGCTACATTTTCTAAACAATAGAAAAGGTGGCAGTCATTGGCATTCTTTTATAGTTTTACAAATCTCTTTTTAATGGAGGACAACTATATTCTCACATTTATGTCTGCTTTCAATCTCTTGTGATAAATTGTTTTGGTTGAAAACAATCCAGCCTCACACAGATCTGTAAATGGAAAAGGAAGAAGAGTATTGTCATAGTAGTTTTCAGATATTGTGAATATTTTTCTTTGACATTACACCAAATCCCCACAAGTGTTAGATTCTTAAAGGTTTGTTATGATGTGAAATCAGAAACTATATCAGTAAACCTTTTGTGTTTGGTTAAAACTCATTGTTGATCTTGTACTCTGAGTTGCTCTTGCTGTTGGATGATTTTGTAACATCATGCATTGAACGTATGGAAAATATTTATTTACTGAGTTATGTAGATTTTTCAAATGTTGACATTTCATCATGCAGCATCAAAAATTACATTTGTTAAGATCACCACGAATTTCATCAGAAAAATCTTTAATTATTGGGAAACTGCCAAGCTCATAGTCATGGAAGTTTTGTAGAAGTCTGATTTTCACTTTAAAACTTGAATTTTATCATTGGCAACAAATATGTCAGTTGCTTTCCTTGACGTGGCAGGCTCACTTTGTTCATTTTTGAGAAAAATTTTTCCAAATACCCAAATTGGAATAACCAAAGTTATTCTTTCATTCTTTTGAGGTAAAAATTGTGTTCCATGAAAAAGTGGTTAGTTCAGCTCACCACTCACAAAATCACACACGTGCTTTTCCTCCAGATTAAAACATGCAGCAGAAGTGCACTTATCACAACAGACTGAATGCATTTCATTGTACAGAATATTAAAAAGACATGTACTCAAGGGTCAAGATTTAATGAAATTAACTGAAACTAGGCTTTTTTTTTAAAAAAAAAAATTGATGTGAGTGTAGGTGAAGGATACAATGACTACTAGTGCATTTTGGTTCCACTACTTGGTTCACTGTTCTAATGTGCCAGCAGTTTTATCCACCATTGCTTTTGTACCCAAGTCCAAACGTCAGTACAATGATAAAGGCAAATAACTTACTAGTATTATTATGAAGATAGTTTTGCTTTTGTGGACTCCTTGAAAGAGTCTTAAGGTACCTTAGGAGTTCACAGTTTACACTTTGAGAACTGCTGTGATAGACCACAAGAGAGTGATTTGATTCAGATTGTGGGAAGGGATACGGAAGACATCTCTGAGGAATTGATTTTTTTTTTAATTGTGGTAAAAATATACGTAGCAAAACATTTGCCATTTCAGCATTTTTTACGTGTACAATCTAGTGACATCAATTATGTTCATTATGTTGTGCAACCATCCTCACTATCTATTTCTATATTTTTTCATCACCCTTAACAGAAATTCCGTGTCCTCTAGGTAACAACTTTTCCCTTCCCCACTCCCTCCTGTCCATGGTAACTACTAATGAACTTTGGTCTCTATACATGTGCCTATTCTAGATATGTCATGTAAGTGATATCATACAATATTTGTCCTTTTATGACTGACTTGTTTCACTCAGTATAATGTTTTCAAGGTTCATCCATGTCCTACCATGTATCAGGACTTCATTTCTCTTTATGACTGAGTAATATTCCATTATATGTATATATGACATTTTGTTTATCCATTCATCTGTTGATGGACCCTTAGGTTGTTTCTACCTTTTGGCTTTTGTAAACATTGGTATACAAGTATCTGTTTGCATTCCTGCTTTCACTTCTTTTGGGAATATACGCAGGAGTGGAATTGCTGAATCGTAACGGTAATTCTGTGTTTAACTTTTTGAGTAACTACCAAACTGTTTGTTATATAGCAGCTGCACATTTTACAATCCCACCAGCAGTGGATGAGAGGGACATAATATCTCCACATCCTTCTCAGTACCTCTTGTTTACTGTTTTGATCATAACCATCCTAGTGGGAATGGAGTCTCATTTGTAGTTTTGATTTGCGTTTCCCTAATGACCAGTGAAAGAGCCCTGGTGACTCAGTGGTTAAGTACTGGGTGCTAACAGAAAGGTTAGGGGTTTGAACCTGCCCAGCGGCTCCGTGGGAGAAGGACTTGGCGGTCTGCTCTCATAAAGATTACAGCCTAGAAAACCCTTTGGAGCAGTTCTACTGTCATATGGGGTCACTGTGAGTCAAAATCAACTCGATGACACCTAACAACAACAACAATGACCGATGATGTTGAGCATCTTTTCATGTGCTTGTTGGCCATCTGCATATGTTCTTTGATAACCTGTGTATTTAAACCTTTACCCATTTTTTGATTGGGTTGTTTGTCTTTTTGTTGTTAAGTCGTGGGAGTTATTTATATATTCTGCATATTAAACCCTGATCAGATAATATGTTTCCCCCAGCTTTTCTCACTGTCTGTAGGTTGTCTCTTCATTTTGTGGATGGGAATTGACTTTCAAGCCAAGCCAGCTAAGCAAAGGAAGCAATAGCATGTGCAAAAGCTTTAGAGTAGGCAAAGTTACTGGTGTCGTTAAGAAACTGCAAGAAGGCCAGTGTATATAAAGTGTAGTGATCAACAGGGGGGAGAGTAATACAAGAAGAGCACAATTCATTTGCGATTTCAGAAGCTGTATTAAGGATTTGGATTTTATCCTATGACCATAAAAAGCCATTGAAAGCCTTTAAGCAGGGGAGTGATATGATCTGATACAGGTTTAAAAAATATCACTCTGGCTGTTTAAGGAATTTTAAAAATGATATATTTAATTAATTAACATCTGCGTTTGAAAAGTTTTTTCCCATATTGATAGTTGCAGAGCCTTTTCCTGACTATTATTCAAACTTTAATTAGCAGCCCAGAATTCAGTGTTTGCTTAGGTAGAAACTTTGATTTTGATTCATATCTCTCAGAAACCCATGCAGGGATAGAAAAAGAGCAAAATGTAATCTTCTTTGTGGCCATATGACGTTTTATTTTTTAGTTGAAAGTTCTCCACTTTTCATGGAACATCTTTAAAAAATTACTTCTGTTCCGTTTTTTGGAATAAGTAGTTAAATAAATGTTTATGAGGACAGACATCCTGGCAACTTATGTATGGGTGTCCAGACTATACTCATCATTTTGCTTTCCAGCAAACCTAGGGTACTTACTTCTGGAGTAATGGCCATCTTTTGGCCACTGTTGAAACCTTGTTACACTACCTGTGAATTTTATCTGTGCTTTGAGTTTAGATTGGTATTTTTTGAATCATTTTATATTTTACCTGTGTGTACTAGATTTTCCAGGAGTGTTGTGATTTTAAATACTCTATCCTTCTGTCTTCATATAAATACATTCCTGTGTCAGAAAAGTGTCCCTGTTCATACTTGGTTCGTATAATACTAGGCCTTAGGAAGGTCACCTGATCACTCTGAGTTACAGTTATTTGTGTCCCACATTAAACTTTAGTTTAAAAATATTGTTAATGATATTTCTGTGCTATTAAGATGGGAGAACAGAGTGTTATCTCTTAATTTTGTTCATTTAGGAACCTATAGAGGAGGTTTTGGAACTCTAAAACTAAGAAACACTTGTTCCTTATCCATACCTCTCCTACCTACCCACACCTAACCCCTGCCCAATATATAAAGTAACAGAAAGCAAACAATAGGTTAATTTTCTTAGTTGTAATAGAATTTTATCAAAATAAATATACTCTCCATGACCTGCAGAATCTCAGTCTTTGTCCAATAATTGAGCAATGAGCAATACTTAATTTTCTAGATACATTAAAAAAAAAACCAAGCCCATTGCTGTCAGGTCGATTCTGACTTATAGCTACCCTGTAGGACAGAATAGAACTGCCCCATAGGATATCCAGGGAGGGGCTGGTGGATTTGAACTGCTGCTCTTTTGGTTAGCAGCTGAGCTCTTAACCACTGTGCCACCAGGGCTCCTCTAGATATAACCTATCATATTTTCTTCTTTTGCATAGTTTTGATTTTTGGGTGTGTACTTTGTGTGTGTTGTGTGTGTGGTGGAGGAAAGTTGGTTCATGTGAATCTGGGAGAACAGAGAAGATGAGTAGTTTTGGAATTTAAATTGTAGGGCTGGTTTGGATGTTTGAGTTAAAATGAGAGAAAGTTAATTTTGCTCTTGACATCAAGACAAAGGGATTATAAAGATTTAAGCTGCAGTTAGCCCAGTTCTTTTCTTTGGACTACAGTGCAGATAACACATTATCAGGTTTCTTCGTTTTTGAGATTGACTTCTGCTTGTATGGGAACTGAGAAGGTTTATTACATACAATTCTTCTCAACAAGATATTTTTTTCTCTCTGCCACAGGAAGAAACATAGAAATAGCTTTGTTGTACAGAATGCTTTTTTGTAATGATAATTTGTATGGAGGTTTTTGTTTTTTCTTTTTTAAATTATATTTTAGATGAAGATTTACAGAGCAAACTAGTTTCTTACAAAACAATTAATGCACATATTGTTTTGTGACAATGATTGCCAACCCCACGACATGTCAGCAGTCTCCTCTTCTCAACCTTGGGTTCCCCAATACCAGCTTTCTTGTCCCTTCCTGCCTTCTCGTCCTTGCCCCTGGGCTGGTGGCCCATTTAGTCTTGTTTTGTTTTATAGGCCTGTTTAATCTTTGGCTGAATGGTGAACCTCAGGAGTGACTTCATTACTGAGCTATAAGGGCTGGGACCCTCTGTTGTGATCCCTGTCAGAACAGTTGTTGGTGGTAGCTAGGCATCATCTAGTTCTGCTGGACTCAGTCTGGTGGAGGCTATGGTAGTTGTGGTCTATTAGTCCTTTGGATTAATCTTTCCCTTGTGCCTTTGGTTTTCTTCATTCTCCCTTGCTCCAGACAGAGTGACACGAGTAGAGTATCTTAGATGGCTGCTCGCAAGCTTTTAAGACGCCAGATGCTACTCACCAAACTAGGATGTAGAACATTTTCTTTATGAACTATGTTCTGCCAGTTGAGCTAGATGTTCCCCAAGAGCATGGTCCCCACAGCCTTCAGCCCAGTAATTTGGTGCCTTGGGGAATTTGGATATGTCTATAGAGCTTCCATGACCTTGCCTTGGAGAAGTTGTGCTGGCTTCGCCAGTATTGTGTACTGTCTTACCCTTCACCAAAGTTACCACTTATCTGTTATCTATTTAGTGTTTTTCCCTTCCATCTCCCCCTTGCATGGAATTTTTTAGAATTTTATACTATTATGTATTTTTATTAAAGTTGTAATGGATCTTAGAAGGTGAGTTTAGAACATTGAGATTTTAATAGCCAAAATGTTTAAAATTCAGTTAATAAAACACAGATATTGAGAATCATCTATATTACACACTTTGTGAATACAGAGATGATTTATGCATAGCATGTTGGTTTACTGTAGGTAATCAAAAGCTGATATTTTCAGGAATTGAAGATGATTCTCTTAAAGGCCTTTTAACATAAAGGCAGAGTCCCTGGGTGGTGCATATGATTAATGTGTTCATCTGCTAACTGAAAGGTTGGAGGTTCAAGTCCATCCAGAGAAGCCTGGGAAGAAAGGATTGGCAATATACATCTGAAAAAAATCAGCCATTCAAAACCTTATGGAGCAGAGTTGTCTTCAGACACACATGGGGTGGCCATGAGTCAGAGTCAGCTGTTGTTTTTTTTTTTTCTTTTTTTTTTTTTAACGTAAAGACAGAGATAAGGAATTGAACTTAATTCACTGAGAAGCAAATCATTAGCGGGTAATGAACTCCATCAAGAAGAACATTAACTCTGTAATTTTTAATTACTTTTTTCCTTTTATTTAATAAGATTTATGTAGAAGTGCAGTTGTTCTGTGTTTTTTTGTTGTATTTATCCTAGCCGGAGAATTTTCATCCTTGGGCCTTCTCATCATGTGCCCCTCTCTCGATGTGCACTTTCCAGTGTGGATATATATAGAACTCCTCTGTATGACCTTCGTATTGATCAAAAAAGTAAGTATATAGAAAACATACAGCTTTTAAATAGCTGAAGTTTTTAGTAGGAATTATAAGCTAATTTAAAATTAAAAATGTGAATAGGGTTTAAGTCAGATCTCAATTTTTACATAATATATATTGGAACTAACCTGCCAAAACCAACAAAACTGGAAGGAAAAAAAAAAAAAAACCAAAGAAAGAAAGTCTCTGACATCCACAAAAGACAATAAGAGCTTTCCTGCAAGCTGCAGAAATGTGTTAGATCCTCTTAAGTCTCCAGACTGTTTTGGTTACATTTATACTCAGGAAGACATATGAGAACATTGTACCGCGAGATGAAAGATTAGTACCTGTACCAACTTGATGAAAATTTTATAACTTTCCTCACTGTAAATGGATAATGGTGATTATACCTTTATTTCCTCTCAGATGATTTTTATGGGAAAAAATGGGATTGTAGATTGTGAAACGCTAAAAGAAAGATACTACCTAAGCCTTAAATAGATTTCATTTTAAAAACATGTCTATTATTTTGTTGTTGTTTTTTCATAGGGTTCCAGAAATCACAATTTTTATTTAGATGTCTCTCATTTTATACAATAAATAGTAAAGTAAAAATTTTGGACTTTAGTTTTGGGAGGACAAGGAAGCAGCAATTTTAAAATACAGAACTATACAGAGAATAATGTAATAAATACTTGTGTACTCATCATCCACAATTGATTCAGAATTTTTCCCTCATCCTGAACTCAGTTTACCTTCCCAGAACTAACCACCTTCATGAACTTGGCGTGTATCTTTCCAGTTCATCAGGTTTTATTGTTGAGTATGTTAGGGATGGTTTTGTTCAAGAAATTCTCAAACAAATGCTTTTGTAGAATGAAAGAATCCTTTGCAAAGGAAATGATCACTTCCCTTTCCTTATTTTTGTTTGCCTACGTTTTCATAATCTGGAGCTTTAAGTATCATAAGAGTATTTGCAGTTTTTTGTTATAGTACATCTTAATAATGAAGCTAGAGTATTAATAGCCTTACTCCCTGGGATAATTTTTGAAATATACTTTTTAAAAAATTTTGTTGAGACATTCAGATAATTTTACTTTTGGATAGCCTACCAGTGAAGGAATAGAGGACATTTAACCAGATATAATTTTGTGGCAAAGAGGTCATACCACCAGGTTTCATTCATCAGTATTGGTAAACGCATTTAAGACTCTAGTTATTAAAATGTTGGTTCTGTGCTATGATAAAATATATTCTTAAATCTTGTTTTTTTTTGGATGTCAGATTTTATCCTTTCCTTGCTATGCAGCATTTAAGTATATTCAGTTTTAAGTATAGTTCATCAAAAGGGGTTGAATTAGGTCATTTTAAGCTGACAGGGTACTGTAGTGAATTTATGTTGATCTCTCATGAGCTTAATTTTGAATTCTGAGGAAACTAGCATTCTTAGTGGGAATGGTAGGAACCTTAGGTATAAGATAATAATTCCATATATTTTTTTAAAGAAATAAAAAAACCCTCAAAAAACTGTATTATTAATCTCATAAGTAAATAGACCAGTGGTTTTTCCATGTTGCAGTAGAAGTTCATCTACCCAACTGTGTTCTTGCTAGCACGTGGTGATTGGAAGTCAAGAAAAAACCTTAGACCTAGAGGTAATTTTAGAAATAATGAAGGAGCTGTTGAAGAATTTAAATTATTATATTCTTATATAACCACGTAATATATACAAATGCTGAATAAGCCATTGTATGTAATGTTGTTTTGTCTGTTGCATTAAAAGCTATGTTTTTTCCAAATAAAAATTAAAAGGATACTATATGGTGCTTCTGTCTCTTGCCAAAGCATGTAGTTTTATATTACTGGGTGAAATGTCACAGAATAAGGCTATATTTTAATATATTTGTTTTCATATGTTTTGAAATCTCTTTAGTTTACGGAGAACTATGGAAAACAGGAATGTTTGAACGCATGTCTCTGCAGACAGATGAAGATGAACACAGTATTGAAATGCATTTGCCTTACACAGCTAAAGCCATGGAAAGGTATATTGATATATAAGAAATTACAGAGAAATCACAGATACTAATTTCTTTGGAATTAATTACTAGGGTAAGATAATCATTAGAGTAATAAGATTAAAAAATTTTTAAATTTGAAATGAAATAAAAATACAAGATTAGAATTTCTTAATGTGGATTGAAATTAGTTTGCCTGTGAAGGCTGAACGTATGAGTTGACCGTGGTTGTTTTATTAGGTAGGAAAAAAAAAAATCCCCTGTGTATGTATTTGCCTGGTATTTTATTCAGTAGATTATGTCTTTATCTCAGAATAATAATTACATTCTTTTTTGTTGTAGTGCTAATTAATCATAAAATTTTTGGAAGTAACTTCAGAGGTCATTTATTTCAATCTTTTTATTTCAAAGTACATGAATCTCTTTTATAATATGCTTGACAGATTATTTTTTGGTGCCTGCTAAAGGTTTTCCAGGAGCCCTGGTGGTGGAGTGGTTAAGAGCTTGGCTGCTAAGCAAAAAGTTGGCAGTTCGAGTCCACCAGCTGTTCCTTGGAAACCTTATGGGATAATTCTACTCTGTCCTGTAGATTCGCTATGAGTTGGAATCAACTAGATGGCAGCGGAAATTTTTTTTTTTTAAAGGTTTTCCAATAATGGGGTAATCACTAGAATGTACTCAGTAGACTAGAGTGAGGATGATGATAACATATATTTTGGTCTCATTAATATCCACCAGTGCCTAGCATAACGCCCAACACATAGTAGTCATCAGTTTATTTTGATAAAATGAAAAAAATTGTTTGAGAGCTTTCTTTCTTCTGTTAAGGACAGCATTCACAATTAAAATATCTTCTTTTCTCTAGGTTGTATTTCTCTAATCATTTCACCTTTTATAAGGACTTAGTATTTCATATATAGTCTGGCTAGTGCTAAATATGGTGGGATTATTTCTTACATGGATCTGAATACTATATTCTCTTAGTAATGTAGCTGATACCTAGTAGGTTCTCAGTGAATATTTTTGTTGATCAAATGTATTAATGAAGATTACATTAACTTTTTTAATGCTGCTGTGTCTTAAACTGTTGGCTCATGTTCTCCTTGTAATCAACTAAAACCCAAGGCCTTTTCATACTAAGATTATTTTCTCCTGTTGTACTTTGATGATTGATTTCTTTTTAACCTTAATTGTGTATATCCCTTCAGTTATTTCTAATTTTTCTTGTTGATTTTAGTCCATTATTGTAGTCTTGTTTTGGATCTTTTTTCATTTCCGCTTAATTCTGTATTCAAAAGTATTATTTATTTGTCTTTTTATCCCCATCTGTTCATAGTGATAACCACGAGAAGTTATGTAATCCTAAAGATGGTTCCAAAGGTTAGAGTGATTTCAGATTACGAGCAGTATAATTTTAGGTTAGTTGTGTTTCAGTTCATTCTAATTCTTCAGAAATTGTTAAATCTTATATATTGCTTATTTCCCAGAATGTTAGTGTTATCACAATATCCCATTCTTCATTTCTGTTGTTTGCTGAAATGTTTCCATATGTATATGTATATTTATTTGCATATATATACATATATATGTAGACTTAATTAATTTCGATAAAATAGAACCAGTAAGCCACCAGTAATGTCCTCAAGGAGATTTTAAAAATAACTTTTGGTTGTTATTTCAAAGTAAAACGTGTATTGTGGAAAATTTAGGAAAGTAGATGCTAATAATCAATAAAATTTCCATTCATAATTCCACCTTTGTTAAATAGTGTTAAATGATAACTACTGTTAAATATATCACTTCTCAAGAAAAGTTCCTGTCTCCCAGGTTACATGGTGATGGTGGTTGTTGTGTGCCATCTAGTCGATTCTGACTCATAGCGACTCTATAGGACAGAGTAGAATTGTCCCGTAATAGTGACTCTTATGTAGTATGTAGTACCTTTCCTTTGTAGCATTTGTTGAACTTACTACCTGTATCAGTTATTACTGAGTAAGAAATTACCCCAAAAGTTAGTGACTTAAAATCACAACAGCTTTATTGCTTATAATTTTTGGGTCAGGTTTTGGGCAAGGGATACCTTGCTCTTATCCACAACATGTTGACTGAGATAGCTCAAATGGAGCTAGAAGATCCAAGATGTCCTCACTCATGTGCCTTGGGCCTTAGTGCTGGCTTTTAGTTGAGGTACCTCAGTTATTCTCCAGCTAGCCTGATTTTTTTTTTTTTTTTTAATCAACCAGGGCTTTTCTCTGTCTTGGCCCCTCTTTCTAGAGTAATTGCCTGAACTTCTTTACATGGCAACCCAGGGTAGCTAAAATGAAGTTTCCAGTCCTCAAGGCCTAGATCTGAAACTACACAGCATCATTACCACAGCATTCTGTTTTTCATAGCAAATCACAAGATCAGTCAAGATTTAAGAGGAGGGGAAATAGATTCCATCTCACAGTGGGAGGAGAGCACGTATATTCAAAAGTAGGAATTGTTAGCAGCCATCTTTGTACACAGTTTTCTACAAGCCTCCCTCTGGTGAACAGTTCACATTTCTGCAGCATGCAGTATACACCCAGCTCTCCCAAGATTCCCAAAAATTTCATCTAGTTATGACCTCATGCTGAAAGTTCATTATCTCATGATCTGCATCAGGTTATGCTGTGGATGTGCTTCTTGGGTCTGGCTTCTCTTAATCTGGAGACCTGTAAAGTAAGAAAACAAGTTATCAGTTTCTTCCTGTCTTCCCTTAATATATATTCAGTATACAGTTTTGAGATGGGGCAGTTAACCACAGTAGATACTCCCATTCAACAGTGAAAGAATGAGATTCATATGGCAGTCTCTGGTCTAAAGCAGTTCTGAAATCTAACAAGGGGGCAGAGAAAGTTCTATGATTAAGGCTTGGTTCTGCCTTCTGTGAGTGGCTTTATAATTCTTTGTTTTCCTCAGCTCTTGTCTGGGTCCTGCTTTGCTCTTAGTCATCCTTCCTTTTCTGTAAGAAATGGGCCTTATTTGCACCTGAGTAACGTTCTCAGCCTGCTTCGTGTATGTAAAGAAGCCCTGGTGGTACAGTGGTTAAAGCACTTGGCTGCTAACTGAAAGGTTGGCAGTTGGAACCTTCTAGCTGCTCCACAGGAGAAAGATGTGGCAGTCTCATATATGTAACAGTATGGGAGCCTAGAGACCTATTTTCATTTGCAACAGTGTTTCTTTTATTCCAAATTTATTAAAACCATTGTGGGTTTTCTATGTATCAGATTATAAGTACACTATTAGACAAACATCACATCAGCATTTCTTTCTGTGAGAGAGCTCTCTCTACTTTGGATCCCAAGTTAGGGTACTGTAAGTTTCTTAGAAGTCCTTTTGTCTATCTCAGAGGGTATACAAGCACTGCCTTAATCTTTCTGAGGTCTTAACGAAGGTTCTTACAGGTGCATGCTTGATTTGATGATTATGAGGCCCTATTTTATGTCAGTGCTCTGGTCAAGCATATCACTTACATTCCTGGGGCCACGGTGCCAGTAGTTGATTGTGGTGCCTAATTTCTCTCATCTTGGTTCTCTCTGTCTGCCTGTGTGTTCAGCATGTGTCTAATGGAGTGCACTTACAATCTAATACACTTTTTTCCTCATGCCTCCCCCCCGCCCCTTCCTTTTTTTTTTTGGACAGTCTTTTGCTAGCTGCAGAGGCTGTTGATGAGAAACAGTTGTTTTCCAACACAGTAACTTTTGGGTAGAAATAATTTCCTTGAAATTCTTCTTGCAAGCTAAGCAGTTCATTCTTTAGTTTATCATTTTCTTCTTGTAACTTCTCATGTATCGCTATAAGGAAGCCATTGATGCTTTGAACATTCTGCTGAAAATCTCCTTAGATCCACAGTTTGTTAGGTATATTTTCAGTCTTCTAAGTTATTTCATGTGACAGTTTTATTAATTGTTCTGCCGGTGTATAATATGGGTCACTTACCTTCTGGTGTCCCAGAGCAGTTTCCTCACTGCTCTTCCAGTCTCCACAGTTGTCTTGCTGCCTTTTCACCTTCTTCCTACCTCTGAGTCCCAAAAGCCAATGTCACATGTTTTAGGTTTCTGTTCCTCCCCGCTTCCAGGTGCCATTTTTTGTTTTAGTTATCTCTTGCAGCATAAAAAAATCACCCTCAAATGCCGATTATTTTTGTTTATGACTCTGTGGGTTAGAAATTTGGCCAGGGTCAGTGGAAACAGTTTATCTCTGTTTCATATGCTGTCGTTTGGGGCATGTCCACTTAAGCTGAAGGCTCCAAAAACCGTTTCACTTACATGTCTTGGGGCCATGGTACTGGGTTGTCAACTGAAGTACCTAATTTCTCTACATCTTGGTTCTCTCTATCTCCCTATGTGTTCACTCATCCTTCCAGGCTTTTTTCTGAATATGGGTCTCTTTCTGTCTGGCAGGATGGCCTGGAGTTCTTTACATGGCAGTTCAGGGTAGCAAGAGAGCAAAAGTAGAAACTTTCAGGCCTCATACTTTGCCACATTCTACTGGTCAAAGCAATTTATAGGGCTAAATTCAAGGGGAAGGAGAAAAAGACTCTACTTTTGATTGGAGAAGTAGCAGGAGCGCTCAGAAGTGGGAGGAATTTTTGGTGTTCATATATGCAGGCAGCCTGCCACACTACCACTGCAATTAAATAGCTATTTGTGTGAGTACTTGTGTAATGGCTGTCTCCCTTCCCTGATAGTTCCCTGATCTGTTAGTTCCCCAAGGGTAGCTAAACCAAAAAACCCAAGTAGATTCTGGCTCATAGGAACCCTATGGGACAGAGTAGAACTGCCCCATAGGGTTTCTAAGGAGTGGCTGGTAGGTTCAAACTACCGACCTTTTCGTTAGCAGCCAAGCTGTTAACTACTATGCTACCAGGGCTCCTGAGGGTAGCTAGTCTTCTGTTTTATCTCCTGTGCCCAGCACAGTACCTGGTATGCAGAAGGTATTCAGTAATTGTTGAATGAACTAATAACTTTATTTCCATTTTCAATGCTTTTATTAAATATTAT